CGTCCAATTAAGCTAGCAACTAGTGACGAAGCTAAGCTATGGACCCCAAAAATGACATCGCAAAATATGAGTTCAGGCGACGTTCAGGACAAAGATGAAGTAAACAAACTTTGACTTGTTTTGGACATGCAGCCATGTTTTTTATTCCAGAGTTCCAAGCAGAAGAAAAGGCTTGGACACGATATTCCTGGTTTGTTTACGTTAGCTTTCTCAGTCACTTAAAGAAAATATTGCTTCATCAACGATTGATCCCGATTGGACACCAACTGAAAACATTCTTCTGAGTCAGGCTCACACCAACGATTGGTCCTGCAGATTGAAGTGAAGTGTGCGTCGGTCTTACCTGGGAGGGGATCTGGGCGCTGGTGGAGCTCGGTCCGTTACTGTGCATCCCCATCCCGTTCTCGGTCAGGAACTCCTCCAGGTCCATGTACTGCAGCTGGAACAGACCCCCGTCACACGGCAGGGTCCTCTCCCACAGCAGGGGGCCCAGGAAGGCCGACTGAGAGCTTGAACGCAGAGAGCCGGGGGCTCCACCCGGCCCACCAGGTCCGGGGTTAACACTCGCAGAGTCCTCGTCAGAGTCTGCGGGCTTGTCTTTGTCTGAGAGAATATAAAGGGGGGGGGGGGACCTGTTAGACTCTCCAGGAGGTGAGGGGGGTCAATAAACATCTCTATTTCCCTGAGGCTGATCCAAAAACATGAAGCTACCAACAGAGAGGCTGATGATCTCATCGTTTGTTTACTGTAATCAAACCGTCCTCAAACTAATGTGATAAAGATTTGTTGATGTTTGGATGAAGCTTAATGACTTGAAGTCCATGCTGCAACATTTTTCCAGCTCCTGAAACATCATCAGTATTTGGAGCACTTGTGGAAACATCCAAGCTCTGGGACTAAATGTATAACCAGGAATATTTCAGCACAGAGATAACGTGCTTGGGGGTCAGATGCCCAAGTTTAATCCCCCAAAAAACACCCACATGCAGGACCTCATCACTCACAGGCTCAAACACAAAGAAAACATCGGCACCAAGAGACGTCATCATCTGGAGCTCAGGGCTGATTTTTAATTAAGGAAACAGTGTTGAAAAATGAAGCCAGTTCTGAAGTGCAAATAAAACAAACTGCAGTACCCCGAGTGTCCACTTGAGGCTGGCTCCTTAAACCAAAGAACCCCCATTAGTTCCATATTAAAATGACCTTTCTAACAGCATAGATAAACATGTTTACATCCTGATTCAAAAGACAGTTTCTGTCTCTATAGCTCGTGTTTTTATTGGCTCACACCGTGCAGGCGTTAATTTCTTCATAAAGCATCGTTTTGATTTTATTTAGGTGAAGATATTTGCATAAATTAGCATAATTAGGGGCGAGTAGTTGGCGGACAGCCGGTTGCATTTGAGCCCGCCTCAGCTCCACCTCTTTGACTGCTACTAGATTGGCTGACAGTTATTTTGAGACGGTTTTTCCAATATGGCGACCGCCATCGTTTCAAATCAGCTTCAAAACGCCTCTTCAGAAACTGAATGGTGACATCACTGAGGCTACGTCCATCTTTTTAAAACAGTCTATGTGATGAAAAGAGCGTTTCAGGCCTCCAGATCTGTTAAGAGATTCTTGCACGGGGGGGGCGCAGCGTTGTTTGTTAAGCACCAGCGGAGGTTTGTGTTCCCGTCTGCTGCTTTTGTCCTTTTCCTTTCTGTGAAGCACTTAGTTGCAATCATTAAAAAAAGGCATCTAAAAATAACGCCGACTTGTCCGACCCTGCACTGCAACCTCGCAGAGAGGGCGAGTGCGGCTGATGGAAAGATAGATACCGACTCCAGGCATCAATAAACCATCGGCACAAACAAAACAAATGAAAAGTAAAACCAGGAAGTGAATGTAATTTGCAGCACTGAGTGGAAAGAAGTGATTGTTTAGCAGCCTGATCCTTTCATAATATTATTCTTACTGAAGCCCCGCCTCCACAGTGCGGACTGAATTATGAAAGCCAATGAAAAAGTAATAAAAGGGAATGTTCGACTGGGCAGGGATGACATGGCAACAGAGAAAGTAATAAAAAGAGAGACCGAGCTCGACTGAGCGACGGCCGGAAATTTAAATGTAAAAGGATTAAAGAACATAAAGACACGAGAGATTACAGCAGAGAAGGGATAGAAAAGAGAGGGAGGGAGGGGGCGAGCGAGCAGAGAGTCACAGCCATCATGTCCCTTTTAATCTCTTTGCTAGCATCATCATCATCATCGTCCTGACAGCTTCTTTTAAATTACTCATGACACGACTCCAGAGACGGAATCAAAACTAAAAAAGAGCGTCGAGACATCGGGAACACGATCAGCGACCGTCTCAAACATCTGGAGGTCTGTGGGCACGTGGAGCCTTCAGAACCTCCGCAGAGCGCCCCACGTGTCAGAGTCAAGAACCTGAGTGGCTCTCAGCAGGAGGTTGTCCCTGTTGGACGGAAGTCGTGGGTCGGGCTCTCTCAGGAGGTTAGACGTGACATGGACGGTTTTCACACATGCACAAAACGTCCTGATATTTGCAGCAGGAGCGGCATGTGTGAACACAAACAGTCTGAATTTTAGACTCCGCCCTTACAGCGAGAAATAGGGAGAGCGTAGTGGCGCTCCAGAGATGCACCGCGGCGCCTGCTGTAGAAACAGGGGCCTGGACTAGAGTGGCAGCGAACGGCGGCGTGGTGCAGACGGACCGTGGCGTGCACAGAGTATGTGGAAATTGTCGGTGAGAATGCGACATTTATGAGTCAAGATTTCACAAAAACAACTCTGAACATTTCTATAAAGTAAAATCAGAGATTCTGTACTCAGACGTGTTAACTCAATCATTTTGGCACGCCATTTATAAACGTCTCCTCCAACGTCTCCTCCATGACCTCATGACCTCGTCTTTGTAAACGCTCGCGTTCAGTTTTTACAGAAATAGAAGATCTTTGTGAGAAGTCGGTTGGGTTTGACAAGACCCCAAAAAAGACTCTTAGCAGGGGGGTCAGGTGTGGGCTTGAGGTCGTTTTGGCGCCTAACTTTGACCTTTCAGACTGTTTGAAGGAAACGGTTAACGTGAGGTACCATGTGATCGATCTGCAGATTCACTGGATGTGGCTGCTTTGATTTCCCCGTGTCATAGGATGAACCCTATCACCAAGACCCCATTCTGCAGGACCCCAAAGGAAAGGAAGCTGGAGTGACAGAGGCCTTTCAAAATAAGAGCGGGTATCCCTTTGTCATTGCAGCAGAATGAAAAGATGAGAGGGGAAGAAGAAGAGAGCATGCACAGGAGGAGAAGAGCCACAGAGATGAGACTGCAGACTGTAACAAAGCCTGAGAAAAATGCAAATCAGCAGAGGGGCCGAGGGAAAGAGAGCAAGACAGGAGCGAGCGAGAGAAAAAACTCAGGGACGAACGACAGACGGGGAGAGAGAGAGAGAGAGAGAGAGAGAGAGAGAGAGGAGTGGGTGTTTGTGAAGGCGTCAAACAAAGCTCGCCAGGGGAGAAAAAAAAGCAGGAGGAGTGATAATCAACTGCGCATTGTGGAAAGAGAAGAAGCCAAAAAACAGCAAATAAATAAATCAAACACCCCACACGGGAAACCTTTGTGTCTTTTTCAGACCCTGAATGCATCACCTGTCGCACGGCGCTGACAGTGAGCAGCTTTTCTTTCTGCACGGGGAGCCTGTCATCAACGCTCACCATCACTTTCTCCTCCTCGTGCAGAGGAGCAGAAGGTGCAGTTACACCGAGAGGCCAGCAGGGGTCGCCAAACTGCGGGAGGAACTTTGTTGTTTTTTCTCCCTCTATCTCTGTGTTCAGTTTTATCTACACTTGTGAGGACTCGAGTGTTCTTATGAGGACGCTTACGCCTCATGAGGATCATTTTTTTGGCATAACGACAAAAAAAAGATGCTCTAGATTTTTTTTTTGGAAGTAAGGGCTCAAGGAAGTGAAACCAAGTGTCCACACGAGCACAACAAAACCAGTTTGTGTGTGTGCGTGACAGCAGCTGACTGGGAGGTTTGACATGCACACAGCGAGGAGAGAGAGAGAAACAATTCAAACCCACTCACTAACCTTTATTTAAACACAGCAGAGAAACACAAACACTAACTAAAACCTGTCTTCATTCTTCTTCCTCCATGTTGAATCGTTAAACATTTCCAGCGAACACAGAGCAGTGTGTGTAGAAGTGTGTGTGTGTGTGAGTGCTTAGGATAAAGCAGGGCCTCTGTATTTTTACAATCACACCTACCCACTCAGTCACATGTACACACACACACACACACACACACACACACACACACACACACACACACTCCCTCCTGCACTCCTCCTCTGGTGATATTGAGTCTGTAGGGATGTTTGTTTTTGCACATTAGTGCAGCATCTGATGAAGATCGTCACCATCACTTCCTCTGGTGTTTATTTCTTTATTAAAATGTCTCAGCATGAAGGTTAAAGGTTAATATTATCTCTGAATATGTTCAGATGAATCGACCGTGATGCCCTCATGATTACAGTCTGGATTATTTCTGCAGAGGCCTCACGAGCTGCTGCGTTTATATTCTCCTCTGATACAGAAAGAGGTTTTTATTAAATGTCATGACAACGAGTCCAGCAATGAAAACCCCAAACAGAAAACATCAACAAACTTCCTCAAATCTGCCCTTTATGGTGACTCTGGTTCCTTTATTTCCTTTATTATAGTGAACAGAGTGTTTGCTATCCTTCCTGTGATTGGTTGAAAACATGGCAGTTAAAGTCTCCTCAAGTTAAAATGTACATTTCAATTAAAAAACATTTCTGCATCGACTTGTTGGCTGAGGTACTGTACCTTTAAGAAGTGTCTCGCCTATAGGGGCCCCTCTCTCTCTCTCTCTCTCTCTCTCTCCTCCTCACACACACACACACACACACACACACACACACACACAGGCACACGTGCACACACTCACCTTTCATCTCGCTGCAGTCCTTGGTCACTCTCTGGTCGGCCTTGATTGGCAGCTGGAGCAGGGACTTCAGGTTGGTCATGGAGGTCAGGTGTGCACCTTGGGGGCCGCTTACGGCCGGGTTACTGGCCCCGAACTGGGGGCTTGTTGCCCCGGCAGGGAGATCCGGCGGTAGGAGCTGAGTGAGAGGCCTTGACATAACTTCTAGAAGGAGGAGGAGGAGGAGGAGGGGGGAGGAGGTTAGGGGAGGAGGAGGAGGAGAAGGTGGAGAGGAGCTACCTGCAGACTGTTGAGTTCAAGATCAAAATAATCCAATTAGTGACGCTAATTGAGAGGCGCGCCGTCAGAAAGGTGCGCTCAAGATCTCCACCTGAGGTCCCGCCGCTCCGCCCGTCCCATGAAGTGAAGAAAGAAATGTCAAAAAAAGAAAAAGAAAGGGGGATTTATCTCCAAAATGGCAGCATGATGGCAGATTAAATCATCCTCTCAGCCTTCGGGAGTTGCTGTCACCTCTTGGATCCTGGACGCGCAGGACCGGACCCCCCCTGTCCCTCTTCTCCCCGGTGAGTGAGTGGAGGTGAAACGGCGGCTCACGGTCGTGGAGGATCTTAGTCCTGAAAGCTGAAAACGCGGATCCGTGTGGGTCCACAGCAAACAGTGCAGAGGATTAGAAAGAGAAGACGGAGCGAGAAGTCTCCAGAGTGGATCAAAAATAAAAACCAAAACACGGAAATCAACTTTGGATTAAATATGAGCGAAAAAATGTGATGAAAGAAATAAAGAGACCCCCCAAAAATAATAATATCCAGTAGTATGAGAGTCAGATAGATGAGACTGATGGCTCTTATTTTCCTCCCTCTCTCTCCCTCTCTCTCTCACACACACACACACTCACACCTCTCTCTATTTTCGACTCTCTCTCTCTCTCTCTCTCTCTCTCTCTCTCTCTCTGCCAGTCAGCTGGAACCAACACGGGCCGCTCGTGTGACGTCACCGCTCACGGGGGAAAGGCGCTCGGGGGCGTGGATCGTTTGCATACATCGACCACGCCCCCTTCCTCAGTTTCCACCAGAAACGCCCCCTCTGCCTTGCTCTTGTGCCTGTGCTGCCTTCACAGCGCATGGGAAAACTGGTAAATATGAGTGTTTGTGGTTTTTACACACGAAATTTGGCTTTGTGATTTTTAGGAGGGTTATAAACCAGCTAAGAGTAAAAAGGAAGGAAACATACATGAAAGAAATCTGAAGATTATCTTGACATTTGTATTATAAATAAGCTTATATATATTTGAACAGATTGGTGTGTTAGGTTTTCTCAGTTTGGCGTTAGAGTTCAATCCAAACAAAAGTCTTTGTCAGTGAGAATGTTTTGGCTTCAAGTTTTAAACCCTATATTTAAAGAAAGTCACATTCTTCCTCCCAAACTGCAACAGGCCTTAAGGTATGTTTTTCACCTGATGGGTGGGTGTGTCTGAGGGCTTGCCCAATCAGAAGCAGCGTGAATATAAAGCCCACAACAGGTAAAGAGCAGCTGCTGTTACATAACCCAACACAAAGACCAGAGTTAACAAATGACCAGCACTGTGGGAATCAATATTTACTGTTTTGAACTTGTCACTCACCTGCTTTAACCCCGTCACTGCCGGAGAGTGTGTCTGACTTCTAATACAGCTTTAAATATTGATCATATTTAACAGGTTAAAATCAAAACAAGGCACACACTCACACACATCCATGGGGTTTGTATGTGTCTCTTTGGTCAGTTTGATTAATGGATTAAAGAGGTACTCCTTTTTGAACGTGTAAATTAAATTAATGAGTGATTAAAAGCTTATTTATGTATGATGTCTTTCATTGTTTGTACATTTTGTACAAGTTTATTTTCTTCGTTGTTGTACTATTTCAATTTCCCACAATGTTGGTTTAATCAAATATCTAAATAATTGTGATTTACTGCATTAAACAGTAGTATTATGGTTGAGTGATTGTTTTTCCCGATGACACTTGAACCCAACAAGTATTTTCATACACCACCACAACACCTCCCATCTCTTTCATCCAATAAGCGGACAGCAGCGTGTGGCCCCGCCCCCCTCCGATCTGAGCTGCTGCCTCTTGGTGAACACACCCCGCCCCTCTCTTCTTCTCTCACGCTGTCATTTTAAACTCCGAGAGGCCAAAACAACAACACACACACACACACACACACACACACACACACACACACACACACACACACACACACACACACACACACACACACACACACACACACACACACACACACACACACACACACACACACACACACACACACACACACACACACACACACACACACACACACAGCCAAAGGTTACACTTCTCATCTACTGCAGCAACAGGCAGAGACACAGCCATTAAAGTGTGACTTTGTCCTTTAAACTCGTTTAAATAAATGTTTATTTTGATTATATTTGTAGTATTTTAAGTCTCTATCAACGTAGCAGTAAATACTTATACAAAAACACTTAATTTAAAGTGTTTAAGATGTTTTTAATCCGGTAAAAACAGGTCGGGAGAGCCACGGTTCGTCCTGTTTTTCCCGCCGTTGAATGTCCCCGTCTGCCTCGCGCTCTCTAAACACCAAAGAAGCACATGGCTCCGGCACGCGCCGACTGCTGCCTACCGGCGACTCTGCCGCGCCGCGATTGGCTGAATGTAGGTCACTCGCTTGCTCTCTCCGCTTCCTATTGGTTAAAATTAGGTCACAGTCTCCGCCCACAGGTTTCCCCATGCTAAGGCCGCGTGACAGGCAGGCTGGCAGCGGGAACACAGAGGAGGGAGGGGAGGGGGGGGGAGGGGGGGAGGGGGGGGGGATTATAGGAGAAAGAGGAAATGGAGAAGAGAGCTCACACATTTATTATTTATTAATTTAACAATAAAATAATTACAAACCAATCACAACAGAAGTAAATAAAAAAACTACAGAAACTGAAGAATAAGAGATAAGATAAGATAATCCTTTATTTATTATTTATGGGGAAATTTACATTGTTACAGCAGCAAAGAGCAAAGACTGCAAACAAAAAGTGAACACAGAACAATTAAAAAATATTTGAAAAAATCATAAAAAATCATAATAATAATAAAGAAAATAACATAAATAAATTATAATAAAAATAATAAGAAGAAGAATACGACTTTAAAGGCCAGAATAATATCGAGATTATTTGTGTTTTTTAGGCTCGTGTTCTTATATGTTTAGACATGTTTAGACGAGTCTCAGGGCGCACTCACACTAGGCCATCCGTTTCGTACACGAGCAGGTTCGACCCCCTAAAGTCCAGTTTCCTTTGACTACTATCCGTGTTTAAGCTCGGTACACTTCCTCGGTCCTGGCAGAGGTGTGCAGCGTGTTCTGTCCGAATCAGACGAATGGGGAGGGGTTGATAACGGGGCCGTGTGCGCCCTTAACTTGAGTTTATGACAGCTGGACCTTTTAGACACACTGTTCCTTTAATCTACCTGAGTTTCTTGTTCACACCTGCACCTCCCAGATGGACTGTGGATGTTTTTTGAAACCGCCTACTACATACTACCATCATACATCAGCTTCATTTCTCAGCAGAACTACTGCTGCTTGGGCAGAACCAGAAACTAGGGCCAATTTAGGGTCCTAACGAAGACCCTTCAGGAATTCTGATTTTCCTCTTTTATCTGCAGATTCCTGCTGCCTACGTCATGTTTTAATGTGCAGCCTTCTTTAGGGTTACTCTGTTTATTAACACCTCTTATACGTGTTAATAAAAGTGTTTCAGTGCACGGCTCAGAGTTTTTCCTCGTACATTAACAGCCTATAAGGAAAGAAAAAAGTTATTCTTACAGGAACATCTCGAGTTTCTCACTGGTACCAAACAGACAAAATAATAAATCAGACGCAGCAGCTGTGGGAGCGACAGTTCCTGGAAAGACCTTTCTGATGACAGCATGCTGTCAAATATACATGACAGAAATGTGCAAGTAGTAAATGGCTAAAATTAACACACACACACACACACACACACACACACACAAGTGTGTGCACGCTGGCATGCATCAGTGAAAGTGAGGAACAACAGCTCCTCGTGTGATTCAACATTCATGAGCCATTTTGAATCCTTATGATTTCCCCCTCGTCCCTCTTCCTCCAGGCCTCGGGAAGCAGCCTTTAAATAAAGTGCATTTAAATGGCGCCATCTTGTGGCCAGTTTGAAGCAATGCACCGAAGCAGTTTAAATGATTCTGTAGCTCTACTGCACTCTCTCTCTCTCTCCGTCTTAGAGGCTGGAGTGTTGGAAGAAATGTAAAAATTCTGTACTCAGGTCAAACTGGAAATACCAGACTGTGAAAATACACTGAAAGAAAAATGTCTACATTTTAAAGAACCGCAGTGAGCACCAGAGTTTATTTTTCCAATAATCCAAGGCGGTAAAAAAGAGAAGAAAAGTTCCTCACAAGTCAATGACAATGATATTTGGCTGTGAAGTATGAATATGCATGAAATAGAAATGGAAAGTATATCTTTAAATATATATATATATATATATATATATATATATATGCACGGCACCTATAGTGGACCTGCCAGTTCTGGGGGTCTCTGGTGAACACCAATCAAGCTGCATGGTGCTGGACTGTGAGAACAGGTGTGGGACACTCATGGGGTCTTGGAGTCTGGCACACGAGCAGCCTGATTCTGTTGGGCTCTGGCTCCTCCCCTCCCGTCATTTGATCGTTTCATTCAGTACATAATATCTACTGATTGTTTTCAAAAGGTTGAACATCAATATTCAAGGAAAGTACAAAGTGGAGTTTGTTCCTGAATGTTGAGTTAATAAAGTTTTATTCTCTCTGGTGTTTTTTCGGGACACGTGTCGGAGCACGGGGAGTGAAATCTGAGGGGTCACAGCTGCTGTGTGCTCAGCGAGTCACCTGACCGCGAGCTCCAGGTGCAGCACACCTGACCTCCCGGCATTGATGTTTGTGGAGCTGCAGCTCTGCGAGTGTCTGCTCCCGGTGTGTCAAGAGAGAAAAACCACTTCAGCGTCCCCCGTCGGAGAGGACGGATAAAAATGAACACACAGGATTAATGATCTGAAAGACGCTGGGAGGGGGATGAGCCGCTGTTTCTGTAGAAATCTCAAAAGTTTGTGAGACGATACGGTTCGATACTTGTCTGGTCTCTTTAGATGTTTGTACTTAAAGTTCTGGTCTTCATACTGAACCCGATGTGTTAACTTAGTTAGTTTGTAACTGAAGTTGTCATTGTTTGGTTACCATGGAGACGAAAGACCTCACCTTTAGGGCACACTCACACTGGGCAATCCCAAGCAGGTTCGACCACCAAAAGTCCAGTTCCTTTGACCCGTGTGAGAGCTCCGGACACTTCCCTGGTCCCGGCCCGGTTGGGGGAGACGGGCTTCGGGACGGTGCTGAAAATCGCTGCCTGGAAAGATCGAGGAATCCAGGAGTGTCAGAGCGCCGCACCGGGCCGAAACGACTCAAAATAAACCACAAAGTCAGAAAAGCTTCAAGAGGTGAGCGTGCTCAGGACCGGTTGGGTCTGGAACAGTGTGAGAGCAGGCCGGCGGAGGACTGGGGACAAGCGCGCCAGGGCATGGTACCAGGCAACTGGGCCTAGTGTGAGGGCGCCCTGAAATAGTATCAGTGATCAGCGTTTGTTTCCTCTCGTGTCTGAACAGACTAATCATTTCTGTTCACTTATGTTCATCCACAATGTTTGTACGACATCACAAAGCATCATGGGGGGGGGAACTGAAGCCTGCAGCCTTCTTTCTACAGCTAATGAACAATAACAACAGTGACATCTAGTGGTGAAACCTTCAACTACAACATGAAGTGATGTCACAGTCCTCTATTATAGGACCTAAGAAATGAGCTGAACAGAGAGTTAATTGGGGGGGGGAAACAAGTGGCAACCTCCGGTGTTGAAAAATGAAGCCGATGCTGAAGTTCAAAATCCTGCAGTTTGCAGAGTCCGCTTGAGGCTGGCTGCAGAAGCACAGGAAGTCACAAACACATGTTGTCCTTGTTTAATTTAAAGGGGACATATTCTAAAAGACCCTCTTCTTCAGTGTTTCTGAACATATATCTGTGTAACCTGAGAGTCTACTGACCCACAACATAAATAAATCCATCCAGTCCTTTGTTTGTGGCCTGCATAAGTCTTACAACACAGAGAAACATGATCCATTTCTAATGTGCTCTCCTTGTGATGTCACAGTGGGATTCTGGTAAAAAAAAAAAAAAAAAAATCCCCTCCCCTCCCCTGGTATCTCCACCCATGGACTCCACCCATGGACTCCACCCCCAGACTAGAACAAAACGTTTAACAGGTCTGCTATTTTTATTCTCTTTACAGAGGAGTGATGTCTACGGGGAAAACTTGGGGGGGGGGGGGTCATTACATTTAAAGAGACACACACACCAAAACGGAGCGTTCTGAGAGAGCTGGTTTATACAGGGTCACAAACCTCCTCTGGTGCTTGATTCATGTTATATTTTGACCAAAGCACAGCACAGATGTTTCATTTAGACCACAGGGGACTGTTTGAAAAGGTGGAGGAGGAGGACTGTTTGAAAAGGTGGAGGAGGGGACTGTTTGAAAAGGTGGAGGAGGGGACTGTTTGAAAAGGTGGAGGAGGGGACTGTTTGAAAAGGTGGAGGAGGGGACTGTTTGAAAAGGTGGAGGAGGGGACTGTTTGAAAAGGAGGAGGAGGGGACTGTTTGAAAAGGGGACTGTTTGAAAAGGTGGAGGAGGGGACTGTTTGAAAAGGAGGAGGAGGGGGACTGTTTGAAAAGGTGGAGGGGACTGTTTGAAAAGGTGGAGGAGGGGACTGTTTGAAAAGGTGGAGGAGGAGGACTGTTTGAAAAGGTGGAGGAGGGACTGTTTGAAAAGGTGGAGGAGGGGACTGTTTGAAAAGGTGGAGGAGGGGACTGTTTGAAAAGGAGGAGGAGGGGACTGTTTGAAAAGGTGGAGGGGACTGTTTGAAAAGGTGGAGGAGGGGACTGTTTGAAAAGGTGGAGGAGGACTGTTTGAAAAGGTGGAGGAGGAGGACTGTTTGAAAAGGTGGAGGAGGGGACTGTTTGAAAAGGAGGAGGAGGGGGACTGTTTGAAAAGGTGGAGGAGGAGGACTGTTTGAAAAGGTGGAGGAGGACTGTTTGAAAAGGTGGAGGAGGACTGTTTGAAAAGGTGGAGGAGGGGACTGTTTGAAAAGGAGGAGGAGGGGGACTGTTTGAAAAGGTGGAGGAGGACTGTTTGAAAAGGTGGAGGAGGGGACTGTTAGAAAAGGTGGAGGAGGGGACTGTTTGAAAAGGTGGAGGAGGACTGTTTGAAAAGGTGGAGGAGGGGGACTGTTTGAAAAGGTGGAGGAGGACTGTTTGAAAAGGTGGAGGAGGAGGACTGTTTGAAAAGGTGGAGGAGGGGACTGTTTGAAAAGGTGGAGGAGGGGACTGTTTGAAAAGGTGGAGGAGGGACTGTTTGAAAAGGAGGAGGAGGGGACTGTTTGAAAAGGTGGAGGGGACTGTTTGAAAAGGTGGAGGAGGGGACTGTTTGAAAAGGTGGAGGAGGACTGTTTGAAAAGGTGGAGGAGGAGGACTGTTTGAAAAGGTGGAGGAGGGACTGTTTGAAAAGGAGGAGGAGGGGGACTGTTTGAAAAGGTGGAGGAGGAGGACTGTTTGAAAAGGTGGAGGAGGACTGTTTGAAAAGGTGGAGGAGGACTGTTTGAAAAGGTGGAGGAGGGGACTGTTTGAAAAGGAGGAGGAGGGGGACTGTTTGAAAAGGTGGAGGAGGACTGTTTGAAAAGGTGGAGGAGGGGACTGTTAGAAAAGGTGGAGGAGGGGACTGTTTGAAAAGGTGGAGGAGGACTGTTTGAAAAGGTGGAGGAGGGGGACTGTTTGAAAAGGTGGAGGAGGGGACTGTTTGAAAAGGTGGAGGAGGACTGTTTGAAAAGGTGGAGGAGGGGACTGTTTGAAAAGGTGGAGGAGGGGGGTGATATGTCCTCTTTAAATTATTAACATCCCGCCTCTGACTTCCTGTCTGGGATCATCTGCTCGTGTGCTCCATCAAATACAGACTTGGCGTGCAGCAGAGCGGAGCGGCGCTTCTGTTACGTGCCGGAGACAGACGGAGCATCGACTAGAGAGGGCGCCATCAGCTCTGGAGAGTGCGGGCGCACATAGATCCTGTGGAATTGGCCGGTCAGGGCTTCCATACTTTGAGGGAAAATCAAGACAAACTTCAAAACAAACATCATTGTAACATTTCAGTTTTTTTTTTTATTTGATTCGAGGGTTTTCAACAACTCACTTTTAGGCAAAGAAAAGGATAGTAATTTAGTAATATTACATGTTTTAGTTTTACAGAAAAAAGAAAAAAAACACGTCTGGACAGGACCTAAGTAAGGGACTATGTGTACACGCTTTTGTTACAAAAACTGGGCATAGCTGTGGCAACGAGGGAGCGGGTAGAAAGGGGTTCGGGGGGGGGGGGGGTCACATCGATACATACACTCATCCCGCTGTTTTACAAAGTCCCCAACTCGTTCCCTCCCACCCGTACAATACCAACAATGATAAAAAGAAATGATACTTGGAGTAAAAAACAGCAAATATATAATAAAATATAATACCAATTGTACACTCGGTTATTTCTGTCGTCCTTTGTAAGATCCTGAACACATTAACAGTTTGAGTCGCGTTTTCTCTCCGTTCACGACTCGTTAAAAAAAATGACAAAAAGTAGTGTACACTAATAACAAGATCAACAACACTTCTCCGCTCTGTCCTTTTTAAGTCACGCACGCCAGCAGTGTAGCGTCGCCGCTGCGTGACTGGTTATAACGTCAGATTGACTCGAGGTCTTTTTTTTAAATTACGTCGGGGGCAGATTATCGGTGTATAAAAAAGTGAGAGACTCTCCACTGGGGTAACAAATAAACACGTACAGATCAAAGAGACACGGACTGACTATACGGATCGACGGTGGATTATGTGAGAACAAGTTGAAAAAATAAACGGGTACTAAAAGGTACCTCACTTCTACTATCGGCGTGAAACCATATGTATGCACAAACACTGCTAATGGGAACTTCAACATAAAAAAATAGAATGGAAAGGACACAGGATTAATGTTTTCCTCTTCAAACAGGTGCTACCAAAAAACTCTCAGGCCGTCGAGGTTTTCTTCGCCTTCGGGAAAGGAAAAAAGGTCGGAAAAAAGGTCGATAATGAGGGCGGTTGATTTCCGGCCTTTTGAAGTCCACGCTCTTTTTTATCGACCACCTCGGCTGTAGTCGTTCGGACTGTTCACAGATTTACCTGAGAGCGTTGTGGGGACATTATGGTAGTTACACTAAACCCTCCCCCGCTCTCCCGTCTTGTTCTGTTAAAAACTCACTAGCTCTTGTTTGCTTGTTGGATTATTTAAAAAAAATAAACATAAAAACAATCTATTCTAGAAAACTGTTTTTTTTGTGTTTTTTTTTTGTTTTTTTACTGACTGTACTCAGTCAGAACTGTTGATCTCTCAGGCTGAACCAGAACTGGAACCGTTAGCTGGATCGGTGAATGTTCACTCTCTGACTGAGACGGCGGAGATTTCATCTTCAGCAGTTCCCAGTTTCCGCTCCCGCTGGTCGACCCCCGGCAGGAGAACTTGTGCCGGGCCAGCAGTCCCGGGTTCCAGAAACGGTGTCGGCATTTGTGGCACTGGAATGCAGCTTGTTTCACATGCTGGCCCCTGTGTTTCAAGGCTTTGTGTAGTGAGCTGTTGCGCCTCCCGCACACCTGGCACCGCAGACGGGCGCCGCGCCCTGAGTTTCTCGGCGGGTGCCTGATGGCGTAATGGATCATCAGAGATCCCTGCTTAGCGTACATGGCGCTGGGGCAGATGGGGCAGGGGAAGCGCTTGATAGGGATGTCCATCGAGCTGAGCCCGGTGACGGTTACAGCGCCACCAGTCCACGACTTCACCTTCATGACGCTGCCTTTCACCCTCAGCTGGGCCAGCAGCTTCTTCTTGTTGAGCTGCGCCTGCAGTTTGCCCCGCCTCTTCCTCAGCATCAGCAGCTTCTTGCGGGTGTCTTTACTCAGCGGGACTCCGACCAGCTTCCCGTCCCTCATGATGCTGTGGATCACCACTCGCCTTTTTTTCTTTCTGTGCTTTCTTGTCCCTCCTTGTCGCTTTTGGAAGTTTTTTGGGCGGTAGTGAAAAGGGTGCTGCACCTGTGGCGTCTGCTGCGGTTGCTGCTGCGGCCCCGGGGCGCCTTGCTGCATGTGAGTCCCCCCGGCGTAGTTTGGACCTGATCCTGAATCGTAGAAGAGCGGCGAGTATCCGGAAGGTTGAGACTGGTTGACTCGCTGGCCGCTGCGATCGAGGCCGTGCTGGGACAGCTTGTGGCGCACTAAGCTGTTGGAGTAGGCGAAGGCTTTACCGCACACTTCACAACGAAAGGACTTCTCCAGCCCCACGCCGCCGCCGTGGACCGTCTGTTGGTGTGCCGTCAGGTGGAAGTAATGGCGGAATGATTTCCAGCACACTGTGCAGGTGTAAAGCCTCTGAGAGGGGGTCCCATGTGTTGGAGACTTCTCTCCTTGGGAGCATGATGAGAAGTAATCAGCGTTTCCTGAATTAGGGACTTGACTGATGGTGGCAGCGGCGGCGGCAGCAGCAGCAGCAGCAGCAGCCGCACCTTTAACCCTCCTCCCCTGGTTGTCGATTTCCCCTCGTCTGTGCAGCTTCCCGTGTCTCACCAGGCTCTGAGCGTAGGCGAACATCTTCCCGCACAGATTGCACTTGTAGTTCTTTTGACCCGAGTGCACCGTGAGATGCTTGGTGAGGTGGAAAGGCTCGCGGAACATTTTGCCGCAGACGTCGCAGGAGTGAGGTTTCTCCCCTGTGTGGACGCGGTTGTGGCGCCGCAAGGTCTCCGCCCTCCTGAAGCGTTTGCCGCAAATCTGGCAGCTGTACGGCCTCTCCGATCCGTCCCCCGGCGGCGCGGGACTCCTCCTCCGCCTCACAATAGTGTTGGGATCCCTCTTCTCTCTCGGCTTCCTCTGCTTTCTGGGTTTCATGTGTGGCTGGCTGGGATGGGTCAAAGGCATGGTGGAACCGTTGAGGCTGGACGTGGACGACGGTCCACCCAGGTTACCAAACCCCAACCCCCCCAACAGGCCACCAATGATGTCCCTCCTTTCTCCTTCCCGGCCTTCTGTGTTTATATCACAAGAGGCGGCGGCCGCAGCAGCAATGGCCGACATTGCGCTGCTGGTGACCTCGTCCTCAGAATCGTCCAGCAGGGAGGAGAGCGGTAGATGAGGCTGCTGTGGCGGCGGCTGCTGTTGGTGGTGGTGGTGCTGGTTCTGTGGGTGGGGATGGAGAGTCGGGGCTAAAGGGGCCTTGCGGAGAGTTTGGCTGGTCATTTCACTGGCTAGCGTGCTTTCTGAGGAGTACAGAGAAGAGGGTTGTGATCTTCTGTAGTCGTCGACCCCGCTGCTGTAGGGCGACTGGTTCTGGTAGCGATTTCTGGAATAATCAGTTGCATATTTATCATTTGCCAAAGCTGCACTATTGTTTGAAATGCCTACCGTGTCTCCACTGCTTCTCATTTTACTGCTGCTCGGGTTGTTTGAGCCGCTCCCGCCGGCGTTTGCCCGGTTTTTTGAGCTCCGGGGTGGTTTCCCGCAGGCGCCTGAAGCAGCGTGGTTGAGGAGGGAAGTGCTCTCGCGGAAGCAACGCCCGCAAGCGGGGCAGCGGAAAGGCTTCTCGTCGTGAATCTTCTCGTGTCTAGTGAGCGACTCTCGACGGTTGAAAGACTTTTGGCAGATATTGCAGGCGAAAGGCCGGTTTTCTGAGTGGGTGACGCTGTGCTGGATCAGGTGACCCCTCTTTTTGAACCGCTTCCCACACTCGCCACAGCAGAATATCCTCTCTGGGCTCGGGGAGTTACAGTCCGACTTCCTGCTTTGGCTTTCCGGTGTCAGGCCGTGGCTGCGGAGATGCCTTCTGAGGCTCGAGAGGTGAGTGAAAGTTTTCCCACACTCGCCACAGTGGTAAAGGGGTTCTGGCTCGGGCAGGCCAGATGAACTGTTACTGTGGCTCCCATGGGATTTATGTTGGTTGCCGTTAGCTACAAGCACAGAAGTGGAGTTAGAGGAAGGGGCAGACGAGGAGGAGGAGGACGAAACGGTGGAGGATGACTGCTGGGAGGATGACGAGAGGAGGGAGGAATGCGGTGGCTCACTTCCGATGCCACTTATCCCAACGCCCCCAGATCCTCCTCCCACCAGGCCCGACGAGGAGCTCTGACTGTGCCCACTCGAGCTGCTGTTATGGCAGTTTCCAACACTGCCGCTGCTGTGGCTGTGAGTGCTGTGACCGTGGCTGCTACTGTCTGATTTTCTCTGGGGAAGGTAGCCCGCCATCGCTTTCTTTCTCCTGCTCCCTCCTCCACTTGAAGTCGACGTGGACGAGCTGTCTCCCACCTTTGCC